GTCCCATGTAGCCTACCCCCTCCGCCCCCTCACCCCCACCCCCCTCCCTGTGGCCACTCACCCTGGAAGTTAAAGCCCAGTTCCACAGCCTCGCTCACGACGGTGGCCTCCCCATTAAAGCACAGGAAAAGGTCTACCGAGGGTGAATAGAAAGAACAGCATAAAAAAATAAGTTAAGACATTTGCGGGACACAGAAATGGTTTATTACCTGTTGATGATGATGTGTATAGTATTCTCAAAAAAAAGAAAAAGAAAGAAAGAAAAAGAAATGATCGCCTCTGTCTCCCTGGGTATAGCCAGGCCCCCCATTCTTCTATGCTCTGCCCTCTGAACTGGGCCAACACTCACTGCTTGGCCAATCCTGGCCGAGACATGCATTTGGGTCTATGAACAGGCTTGGATGGAGACGTTAGAGTGGGTGATAACCTCACCCTGGGCTTAGAGGGGCTACTGGGGGCAGCACGGGCTCGTGAGGAAGCAACCTTGACCTGGGATCCAAGAGTGAGGTCTTGGGCGTTCCAGAAGAAAGGAGAAACAGCAGAGGAGGAGGGCAAGGCCTCCTTTGTCATCAGCATGGAGGGGCTAGGTGGACCCACCTTTGCACATGGTGATATTCTCAACATGCTTTTTGGTTTCATTCATAATCTTGGCCTTGACAATCTTAGTGAGGTTTGCAAACAGTTCCTGATATTCTGGAGTGTAGTCTGCCTCCAGGAGGATGTTGTGTTCCACCACGATGCTGCCATTGCTGGAAGCAAGAAGTCATTTTGTCCGTTATCCCATGCCACCCTTCCCCCACCCAGCAAGTGAGGCCCAAGCAGCAAGAAGGGTAATAAGGGACAAAGTAGCCATGTGACCCAGAGGTGGGAAGAAGAGATTCTTCCCCCCCAGCAGCTAACAACCTACAAGGAGGCAGTGGAGGGAAACAATTTAGATCCCAAAATAGCACAAAAGATCACAATGCATGCCCATGGCTGAGATTCAGCTCTTTAAAAACAGAAGCTCTTAGACGAGGATGTGGGAAATTGGAACCCTTGTGCACTTTTTGAGGGGGACCATGTACAATAGTGCAGCCAGTTTGGAAAACAGTATGGTGGCTCCTAAAAAAATTAAACAGGGAATCAGATGGTGGCACGGCAGTAAAACTCCGGGCTCTGAGAGGTTGACTCATGTGAGTTCCCAGGATCCAGGGCTGGATAAAGCTGAGGGTGGATCCTGGCACCAAGACCCTGTGGGGGGTGCTGTCTCTCTCTCTCTCTCTCTGTCCCTCTTGCTCATGGCAAAAATAAATAAACTTTTTTTACCTTATAAAAAAATTTGGGAGGGACCAGCAGTTAGCATAATGGATATGTTGCTGAACTCCCATGTAGTCGACTGCGGTTTGAGTCCCAGACCTGGTGGCTTAAACTCATGCCGGGCGCGCGTGCGTGCGTGCCCAAGATCCCAAGAGGAGAATGGAGAAGGGACTGCAGCGTGACCATCTCCCCTGGGGGGTGATTTCTCGCTTTCTGTCTCTCTGCCTCTCTCTGTCTTTCCGGCAAGCGCACGTGCCCTATAGCAAAAACCTCTCCAAAAAAATTTTTTTTAATTTTTACATTTAATCACTGCATGTATTTACAGCATACAAAATAAAATTTCCCAGCATGAATATATTTGCATATTAGCCCACTCAAAGACATTCCCATATACATTATCATCAACATATAATTTTTCATTTTTGTGTCTGTTAAATTTTTTTTTTGAAAAAAAGAAATAGAAAATTATCATATGATTGAGCAATGTCATTTTTGGTTATACACTCAAAAAAAATTGAAAGCAAAGTTTCAAAGAAGTATCTGTTCTCTATGTTCACAACAGCATTATTCACAATAGCCAAAAAGTGCAAGCAACCCAAGTGTCTGTCAACAAACGGATCAACAAGATGTGCTCTATCCATACAGTGAAATATTATTCAGCCTTAGAAAGGAAATAAATTAAATTTTTAAGAGGGAAGTAAATTCAGACATGCTATACCATTGAGGACATTCTGCTAAGTAAAATAAGGCAGACATGAAACCACCTTTCCACTTCAGTGAAGTACCTAGAGGAGTCCAATTCGTAAAGACAGAAAATAGAATGGTGGTTGTCAGAGCTGAGGGAAGGGGCAAATGGCTGTTAGTGTTTAATAGATATAAAATTTCAGTTTGGGAAAGTGAAGAGTTCTAGAGATGGATGGTGGTAATGGCTACGCAACCATGAATGTACTTAATTTTTTATTGTGGATAATACACAGAACATAAAATGTACCATTCAGGGGACCAGTAGGTGGCTAATGGTTATGTTGCTGGACTCCCACGTAGTCAGCCATGGTTCGAGTCCCAGACCCAGCATCTTAAATCTCACATTGGGCACATGTGCATACATGTGTGGCGTGGCCATTCCCAAGGAGGTGATTTCTCCGTTTCTGTTTCTCCATCTCTCTGGTGAGTACACATGCCCTACAGAAAAACCTCTCTAAAAAAAATGTACCATTTAAATCAATCTAAAGTGGACAGTCCAGTGGCATTATTTTAATTAAAAAAAAAAAATAGAGGCTCTCAGATTATATTTTAAAAGCCAAGACCAGAGCAGCAGATGGCATAGTGATTATGTCACTGGACTTCCACGTGGTCAACCGCAGTTCAAGTCTCAGACCCGGTGACTTGAAAATCATGCTGGGTGCATGTGCATGTGTGCCCAAGATCCTGGGAAGACAATGAAGGAGAAAGGATTACTGTGAGGCCATCCCCCCTGGGGGATGATTTCTCACTTTCCCTCTCACTGTCTTTGTCTTTCTCTTTCCAGAACACACAGGCCCTAAGGCAAAAACTTCTTTAAAAAAATGTTTTTTTTGAAGTGAGACTCAGTTGTGGTGGCGCAAGTAGTAGGACACTGTGTTGTGATGTCGGAATCACATGGAAACCCTGGTTTGGTTCCCAGACCAACCTAAACACCCCAGGTGCATCAGCAGGGTGTATCTGTGATCCTAGCTAGCTATTGACTGAGATGGGAAGGTTGTGACACGTGAAAACCCTTTTTAAAAATGCCTGTCTCGCTTCTTCCCTTTCTCTCCCTCCTCTGTCTCTTTCATTAAATTAAAAATAAAAACCAAATAGGAGAGTTTTTTTTTTTTTTAAAGTTTGTTTGTTTTCCTATAGAACACGTGCACTCACTGAAGAGAAAGACAAAGATAGAAAGAGAGAAAGTAAGAAATCTCCCCCTGGGAGGGACAGCCACACTGCAATTCCTTTTCCTCCATTTTCCTCTCAGGATTTTGGGCATGTGTGGGTACACACCCAGTGTCATTTTCAAGCCACCAGGTCCAGGACTCTAATCACGATTGGCCATGTGTCAGTCCAGTGTCTTAACCACCACGCCAAATGCTGGCCCATGGGAGAGCATTTTTAAATGAAGAAACAGGGCCAATCCTGTGGCCTAGTGATTAAGGGAGTTAGACCCCACATAGTCACCCACGCAGTTTGAGTCTCAGCTCTGAGAGCTTGAAAATCACACTGGGTGCTAGCATGTGGTGCCCCTAAATCCCAATAGGATGGAGAAATGAAGGAGAAGGGATGGCGGTGTGACCATGCCCCATTGAAGTTCCCCCCCCTCTCTCTCTTTCTCCTTCTCTCTCTCCCTGGCCAGCGTGTATACCTTCTGACAATAAAATAAGAAGAAAGGAAGAAAAGGAGGAGGAGGAGGGAGAAGGAGAAGGGAACATGAGGTACATTTGAAAAGTAGGATTCCAACCCAGAAACCTCTTGTTAGATGTCTAGCGAAGCTGCTAAGGAGAAAGATCTTGAGTCTACGTCAGTCACCTGTTAGACTCATCGCATCAGAGTCTGCAGCATTACTAGGGAGGACTTGCACCAACCACACATGCATATGTGGGGCAGGGTGGGGCAGGGGATGGTGAGCTATGGAACCTTTCTCATGGGCCTCTTGGGGCCTTGACAGTGTGGATCTCCCTCCTTCCTGCAACCTTCCATTTCCTGGCTCCCTTCCCACCCTGTCTGCCTCGTTCTGTTCTCCTCTCAGAGCCCCACCTATCCCTGAAATGCTGGGGTTTTCCAGCTTCTGTCCTAGGACACTTTTACTCCTGTGCTGTGAACACCCCCTGGGCCCTTGCATCCCTTCCCAGGGCTTCCAGCAATGTCCATCCAGGGATACTGAGGCCCCTGTTTCCTCTGAGACTCTTCAGAGCACACTCTCCATGCCTGCTGCTCCGTAACTCCTCAACCACTCCATGCGCTGAATCCCAGGCACGCAAAGCCTATCATGGCCCCCACCAAGCTCATCATCTTCTCTCCACATCCTACTCCTGTGTACTGAGAGTCTTGTGTGCCAGGGAAGATACATCGTTCAGGTCTTCTCTGAAATTCCTGTAAATCACTTTCACTATCACCAGGGGCACCCAGCACTCCCAGCAGCCCAGAAATCTACCATCATCCCTCACTCCTCGCTCTCTCTCCCCCGCCTCTCCCCACACAAATCCCCTTAATCTGCTGGTTTTGCCTCCCAAAGACCTTTCACACTGGACCTCTCTGGTCCAGGTCACCATCATTTCCAGAGCAGATCCATGCCCTTAGTGCAGACTGAGCTGTCTGCATTGCGAGTCAGTACAATCCCTTGTGGACCAAAACTCCTGATGCCCAAAGTCTCACTCACCACAAGCCATCTTTCCAACCTCCTCTTCACCACCACCCCTGTGCCACACAAGCCGGCTGTTCTATGCAATTTTGCACATCTTTAATGTCCTGAAATCTGCCCTCCTCCCTCTCATCTCTGGGCTTCTCCCTATCTATTCCTTCTTTCTGGCTCATTCCTCCTCTTCCTTCAGGCTTCAACTTAGTCGTCCCTTCTTCAGGAAGAATTCCCTTCTCACCAAGCTTGCCTTCAGACTTCTCCCATTGCACCTTGTGCGCCCCTTACCATAACTCTAACCGGACTGCACAACCTTTTTATTGTTGTTGTTATAGGCATGAGCACTCACTAGAGAGAGAGAGACAGACAGAAAGTGAAAAACCACCCCCCACCCCACCATGGGTATGACCATGCCACAATCCCTTCTCCATTCTCCTGTCGAGATTTTGGGCATGGACACACACATGCCCAGCCTGAGTTTCAAACTGCCAGGTCCAGGACTCAAACCACAGTCAGCCATGTTGGAGTTCAGTACCCGTAACTCCTCAACCACTCCATGCGCTGAATCCCAGGCACGCAAAGCCTATCATGGCCCCCACCAAGCTCATCATCTTCTCTCCACATCCTACTCCTGTGTACTGAGAGTCTTGTGTGCCAGGGAAGATACATCGTTCAGGTCTTCTCTGAAATTCCTGTAAATCACTTTCACTATCACCAGGGGCACCCAGCACTCCCAGCAGCCCAGAAATCTACCATCATCCCTCACTCCTCGCTCTCTCTCCCCCGCCTCTCCCCACACAAATCCCCTTAATCTGCTGGTTTTGCCTCCCAAAGACCTTTCACACTGGACCTCTCTGGTCCAGGTCACCATCATTTCCAGAGCAGATCCATGCCCTTAGTGCAGACTGAGCTGTCTGCATTGCGAGTCAGTACAATCCCTTGTGGACCAAAACTCCTGATGCCCAAAGTCTCACTCACCACAAGCCATCTTTCCAACCTCCTCTTCACCACCACCCCTGTGCCACACAAGCCGGCTGTTCTATGCAATTTTGCACATCTTTAATGTCCTGAAATCTGCCCTCCTCCCTCTCATCTCTGGGCTTCTCCCTATCTATTCCTTCTTTCTGGCTCATTCCTCCTCTTCCTTCAGGCTTCAACTTAGTCGTCCCTTCTTCAGGAAGAATTCCCTTCTCACCAAGCTTGCCTTCAGACTTCTCCCATTGCACCTTGTGCGCCCCTTACCATAACTCTAACCGGACTGCACAACCTTTTTATTGTTGTTGTTATAGGCACGAGCACTCACTAGAGAGAGAGAGACAGACAGAAAGTGAAAAACCACCCCCCACCCCACCATGGGTATGACCATGCCACAATCCCTTCTCCATTCTCCTGTCGAGATTTTGGGCATGGACACACACATGCCCAGCCTGAGTTTCAAACTGCCAGGTCCAGGACTCAAACCACAGTCAGCCATGTTGGAGTTCAGTACCTTAACCACTATGCCACCTGCTGACCCCTGCACAACCATTTTTCAATCTGTGCTCTTCCACTCTGAGCTCCAGGAAGACAGACCGCTGTGACCCGAGCCCCTACCACCACAGGACTGGCTTGTAACGAACATTTGTTGAGTGAAAAAACAATGAATAAAGGATGTATTCAAGTATTGCCTAGGACCTGGGGATTCCTCTGGCCCAGACAAGTACTGATACTCTAGCTATTCATGATAGGAGAAGGCAGGAGAGCAGGGATAGAGAGAAGGCTCCCCCAAGTCTAAAAACCTGCCCCCACCCATACTCACAGCAGCCTCGTAATGTTCATGCCTCTATACTCAGGAAGGTCATTGTAAATTTCACTCATCTGAAAAGAAATGAGACAGTTGAGCCCATACAGGGTTGGAGGGTTCAGAGGTCCCCCTTCCCATTATGGGGCACCCCAGACTTCCTTCTGTGAAGCCCATATATGAGCCTGCAAGAAAGGGGAAGGAAAGACATAGGCTCTTCCTGCTAGAATGTGGGAGACATGGGGCTCAAGGATGGAAACTCTCAGAGGACCTTCTCAAGACTTGGGGAAATTGAGGGATCCTATGAGCTGAGGGATTCAGATCAGTAAGTTCAGACAAACGTCTTCACACCTTCACAGTCAGCTCCACGCTGGGGAGCCTGGGTGCCCCTGCTCTTACCTGTGTCTTGAATTGTGTACTGAGAGTCTTGTATGCCAGGGAAGATACGTTGTTCAGGTCTTCTGTGAAATCCCTGTAAATCACTTTCACTGTCACACCTAAAGTGGCATTGATTTTTTCTGGGATTTCTGTGGGAACAAACCACACCATGCATGAGAAAATAATCTCCCTATAATATCGCTCAGGATCAGTTCGTTGTCTGCCTGTTGATCTCACAGAAGTGAAGAAGGTAGGGGACCAGCAGTTAGCATAATGGCTATGTCACTGGACCCCCATATAGTCAACTACGGTTCGAGTCCCAGACCTGGTGGCTTAAACTCACGCCAGGCGCGCGTGCATGCATGCCCAAGATCCAGAGAGGAGAATGGAGGAGAAGGGATTGCACCGTGGCCATCCACCCTGGGGGGTGATTTCTCACTTTCTGTCTCTCTGTCTCTCTCTGTCTTTCTGGCAAGCGCACACACCCTATAGCAAAAACCTCTCAAAAAAAAAAAAAAAGAACTGGTGACCAGATCAAGACCCAAAAAGAACCAGGCAGAAGGCCCTGGCAAGGGTTGGGGTAGAAACCTCTGATGAGAGGAGTAGGAAGCTGCCTAAGAGGGACCTGAAGAGGAAACAGAGGTCCTTGTTCTACCCGAAGTGTGACCTGGGAAAAAATCACATAATCTCCTCATCTCCACTGCAGTGGGTAAGGAGAGAACAGTTGATCCTTCCAAAACTGCCATTTTATTTTAAGTGGTCAAAGGGCCTGTCTTGGAAGACCTGCAGATCTCAGAATAGGTCTTTACCTATGGGGAAGGCATCCAGGGGAGACAGGCACAGGTAACCAAAGAAGCCTTGAGGACAGACGCACTCTTCTCCATTCCATATTCTCCCATTCTGGCATTGCTCTGCAGGACAGAATTTACAGCAGTCACCATGGAAGCCCAGGGAACAGAAACACTGGCTTCTGTATCATTATTCAGGCATTGCACTGGGGGTTGAAACCAGATGATCGCGCAGCAACTGAGATCCTTGGCTGCCACCTCCACTCCCAGGAGATAGTGGGGAAAGAAGAAGGAACTATATGGGGGTAAGGAAATAAGAGATAAGAGGACAATAAAATAAAATGATTTAAAAGACCTACAAATCAGCAGATGACAAAAATCTATCAGCATGTATGACGACATGCATCAGTGACAAGGGATAGGAAGGATGAAGCAAGACCACAAAAGAGATCAAAGCTGATTAGGTCAAAGCTGAGGGAAAATAGATAAGACAGGCCCAAAGAGTGACATACTAAAAGACTTACCTGGTGTTCTGACTGGAGAGTTATTCATCACCGTAGTTGTATTGGTGCTGGTGAATGGGGAACGATGAGCTGAAGTGGTAATGAACCCAGGGATTGAAGAACGGGTAGGGGCAGTTGAAAAGGAGGAGAGAGGAAAAGTGGAAGTAGTAATAGCTGAAGAAGATTCAGATTCTGGCGTGGAAGAGAAGTCAGGGATGGCTGAAGCTGAAGAAGCAGCTGCTAGAACTGTGGTTTGTGAGCTATTGGATGGCACAGTTTTGTGTGGGAGACCTGTGCTGCTCTGAAAGATGGTAGATCCTTCACTGAGGGTGATGGCTGTTGTTCCAGACATAGCTTTAGTTGTAGAGAAAGAAGTGAGAGTTGATAGAGATGTAGAACTAGAGTTGTCTAAGGTAGAGGGGATAAAAGTTGAAACTGTTGTTTTGGAATAATCACTGCTGGGGACCAAGAGGGAGGAATTCTCACCCAAGGTAGTCAATATTTGGCCAGAGGTGGCTAGAGGTGAAGAGGAATGAATGGGACTTGATGAGGATAATAAACTCAAATTTACTGTGGTATCAGGGGCATCAGATGAATCAGTTGTGTTAGATAAATGAATAGTAGTGGTAAAGACACTAGACTCCTCAGGTATGGTAACAAGAGTAGTTGAAGACAATAGGCCAGAAATAGAAGAAGATGAAATATCTCCAATTGGAGTCTTATAAGAAGTAGCAATAGGAACTGATGTTCTGAAACTATCAGATACGGTGGTATATATAGTTGTTTCTTCTCTATAATTTGTGCTTGCTTGACTAGATACCAAGGTAAAAGAGGATAATTCATGAGGCCTTGAAGTGGACACAGGATGTTCATGGACAGTGGTAAAGGGGATATCTGAAACAATGGGGCGAGACGTAGCAGATGTGGTAGTTGAAAACTGGCCAGGACTTGAAGGGGAGGTCAAGCTTCCATTATCCTCAGTAGAAGGGGTTACAGAGGAAATGGTTGGTGTGAAATAAAAAGAAGTTGCTGTGAAGAGAGTGGTGCTGCTAGGTGGTTCATCAAAAGCAGATGTAGATACATGATTCTCACTATCAGTAGTATGAGAAGTGTCTGTTGAAGGTGTAATGTTTGGTGATTCAGAGAGGGCTGGAGACACTGTGGATTCCATAGTAAAGGACCCAGTCATTAATCCGTCACTACCAGAAGTGGGTAAGAATCCATCTGGACTCAATGTGGACAGATGAGTACCACTAACAGTGCTGGAGGACGTAACATCTAAATCAGTGGAGTCAGTTGAAGTAAAAATGGTTGTGGCCAGAGAGCCAGGGCTTCTAGATGAGGTCATACTTCCATCATACCCAAAAGAAGAGGTGGTTACAGAGGAAATGGTTGGTGTGAAAAAACTTGAGGTCGTTAATACAGTGGTCTCCTTTATATGTGTAGTACTTGAGTTCTGCAGCATCTGAGTACTGGTAAATGGTTTACTAGAACCAGTCGGAGAGAAAAGATTCTCACTGTCAGTAGTATAAGTGTCTGGTGAAAGTGTAGACTCTGATGATAAGGAGAAGGCTGGGGACACAGTGGATTTCACAGTTAAAGTCTCAATTGATGTTCCATCACTACCAGAAGTGGTTAAGGATCCATCAGAACTCAATGTGGATGGAGAATTTCCACTGACAGGGGGAGAGAAGGTGGTATCTGACTCACTTGGGTGAGATGAAGCAGACATGGTTGTGGACAGATGTCTAGAGCTTGAAGGAGAAGACATAGTTCCATCATCCCTAGAAGAAGATGAGATTACAGTGGAAGTAGCTGGTGTGAAAAAACCATAAGTTGTTCTGAAAACAGTGGTCTCCACTGCACTTGGTGTACTTATATTCTCTGGCATCTGGGTGCTGGTAGATGCACTAGATGGTAGATTCTCACTGTCCATAGTATGAAAAGTGTGCGGTGAAGGAGTAGTATTTGATGATTCAGAGAGGGCTGTGGACCCTGTGGATTCCACAGCAAAAGACCCAGTTGATGTCTCACCACTACCAGAAGTGGTTAAGGATGCATCAGGACTCAATGAGGACAGAAAACTTCTACTGACAGTGGTGGAGGAGGTTACGACTGAATCAGTACGGTGAGATGAACCAGATATGGTTGTAGACAGCTGCCCAGGACTTGAAGGGAAAGTGACACTTCCACCATCCCCAGGAGACGAGGAGGTTTCAAAGGAAATGGTTGGTGTGAAAACACTAGAAGTCATTGAGATGATAGTTGTCTCTTCTGTTTGTGTTGCACTTGTATTCTGCGACATCTGAGTGATGGTAAATGGCTCATGAGAACCGGCTGGGGATGAAAGATTCTCTCTGTCAGTAGTATGAGAAGTGTGAGGTGAAGGCGTAGAGTGTGATGATTCAGAAACATCGGTGAACATTGTGGATTTCACAGCAGAGGTCTCAGCTGATGTTCCATTCCTACCAGAAGTGGTTAGGGTTCCCTCAGGACTCAGTGGAGTCCAAGAACCTCCACTGACAGTGGTAGAGGAGGTGATATCTAAGCTAGTGGGGAGAGATGAGGCAGATATGGTTGTAGACAGATGGCCAGGGTTTGAAGAGGAGGTTGTACTTCCCTTATTCCCAGAAGAGGAGGTTTCAGAGGAAATGACTGGTGGGAAAAAATCAGAAGCTGTTGCAAAGAAAGTGGTCTTCACTGCACTTGATGTGCTTATATTCTCTAGCATCTGGGTGCTGGTAGATGGTTCATCAGAAGCAGATGGGGATAAATGATTCTCATTGTCAATAGTGAAAGAAGTGTCTTGTGAGAATGTAATGTTTGCTGATTCAGAGATGGCTGTAGATACTGTGGATTCCACAGTAAAGGACCCAGTTGATGTTCTATCACTACCAGAAGTGGTTAAGGATCCATCAGGACTCAATGTGGGTGGAGGACTTCCACTGACAGTGGTAGAGGAGGTGGCATCTGACTTAGTGTGGTGAGATGAAGCAGATATGGTTGTAGATAGACGGCCAGGGTTTGAAGGGGAGGTAGTACTTCCCTCATTCCCAGAAGAGGAGGTTATAGAGGAAGTGGTTGGTGGGAAAAAAACAGAAGCTGTTCTGAAGACAGTGGTCTCTTCTGTTTGTGTTGTGCTTGCGTTTCCAGGCACCTGTGTGTTGGTGGATGGTTCACCAGAAACAGGCGATGATGGAAGATTCTTGCTGTCAGTAGTATGAGAAGTGTGCGGTGAAGGAGTAGTATTTGATGATTCAGAGAGGGCTGTGGACACTGTGGATTCCACAGTAAAAGACCCCGTTGACATTTCACCACTACCAGAAGTGGTTAAGGATGCATCAGCACTCAATGAGGACAGAAAACTTCTACTGGCAGTAGTGGAGGAGATTACCTCTGAATCAGTAGAGTGAGATGGACCAGATATGGTTGTAGACAACTGTCCAGGGCTTGAAGAGAAAGTGGTAATTCCACCATCCCAAGGAGAAGTGGAGGTTACAGAGGAAATGGTTGGAGTGAAAAAGACAGAAGTTGTGAATGGAGTAGTATCTCCCGTAAGTGTTGAACGTGTGTTCTCTGGCACCTGAGTGCTAGCAAATGGTTCTCCATAACCAGATGGTGATGAAATACTCTCACTGTCACTAGTTTGTGAAGTGTCTGCTGAAAGTGTAGACTCAGGTAAGGAGGAGAGGGCTACAGATACAGTAGGTTGCACAGTAGAGGACCCAGTTGATGTTCCATCACTTCCAGAAGTGGGGAAGGACCCATCAGGACTCAGTGTAGACAGAGAACTTCCACTGACAGTGATGAAGGAAATGGCAGATGATACAGTGGGGTGAGATGAAGTGGATATGGTTGTGGACCAATGGTCAGGACTTGAAGGAGAGGAAATAGTTCTATCATCCACAGAAGATGAAATTACAGAAGAGGCTGTTGTGAAAAAATCAGAAGTTGTGAAGACAGTGGTCTCCACTGCACTTGGTGTGCTTATATTCTCTGGCATCTGGGTACTGGTAGATGCCTCACCAGAGGCAGATGCGGATGAACGATTCTCACTGTCAGTAGTATGAAAAGTGTCTGGTGAGAATGCAATGTTTGATGATTCAGAGAGGGCTGTGGACACAGTGGATTCCACAGTAACGGACCCAGTTGATGTTCCTTCACTACCAGAAGTGAGTGAATATCCATCAGTACTCCATATGGACAGAGGACTTCCATTAGCAGTGCTGGAGGAGGTGACATCTGAATCGGTGGTGTGAGACGAAGCCAATGTGGTTGTAAACAGAGAGCTAGGACTTCCTGATGAGGTTGTATTTTCGTCATCTTTAGAAGAGGAAGTTACAGAGGAAATGGTTGATGTGTAAAAACTAGAAGTCATTGTGAAGGCAGTGGTCTCTTCTGTACGTGTTGTACTTATGTTGTGCGGCATCTGAGTGTTGGTAAATGGTTCATGAGAATTCGTTAGGGATGAAAGAGTCTCACTGTCAGTAATATGAGAAGTGTCTGATGAAGGTGTAGACTTTGATGATAAGGAGAGGGCTGCGTACACTGTGGATTTCACAGTAAAAGGCTCCACCGATGTTTCATGGCTACGAGAAGTGGTTAAGGATCCATCAGGACCCAGTGTGGATGGAGAATTTCCACTGACAGTGGTAGAGGAGATGACATCTGAATTAGTAGTTTGTGGTGAGGCAGATATGGTTGTAGACAGATGGCCAGGACTTGAAGGGGAGATCATACTTTCATCAATTCCAGAAGAAGGGGAGGTTACAGAGGAAATCGTTGGTGTGAAAAACCCAGAAGCTGTTGTGAAAAGAGTGGTCTCCACTGTATGTGTTATACTTGTGTTCACTGGCATCTGGGTGCTGGTGGATGGTTCTCCAGGAGCAAGTGAGGATGAAATATTCTCACTGTTAGTAGTATGAGAAGTGTCTGGTGAAACTGTAATATTTAATGATTCAGAGAGGCCTGTGGACACTGTGGATTCCAAAGTAAAGGACCTAGTAGATGTTCCATCACTACCAGAAGTGGGTAAGGATCCATCAGAACTCAATGTGTACATCCAACTTCCATTAATAATGGTAGAAGAGGTGGCATCTGAATCAGTGGAGTGAGATGGAGCAGACATGGTTGTTGACAAATGGCCAGGTCTTGAAGAGGGGGACATACTTCCATCATCCCCAGAGGAAGACGAGGTTAGAGAAGATATGGTTGGTTTGAAATAAACTAAAGTTGATGTGAGGACAGTGGTCTCTTCTCTAAGTGTTGTACTTCTGTTTTCCGAGCCATGGGTGCTGGTAAGTGGTTCTCCAGAACCAGGTGGGGATGAAAGATCTTCAGAGTTGGTAGTATGTGGAGTGCCTGGTGAAGACAAAGAATTTAGTGATTCAGGGAAGGCTGTGGACTTCATGTTAACGGATACAGCCAATGTTCCATCACTACCAGAAGTGGGTAAGCCTCCCTCAGGACTTAGTGTGTACAGAGGATTTCCATTAACAGTATTGGAGGAGGTGACACCTGATCCATTGGATTGTTGTATGACAGATATTGTAGACAGATGGCCAGGGCTTTCTGGAAAGTGCGTACTTCCCTCACTCTCAGTAGATGAGGCTACAGAGGAAAATTTTGGTGTGAAAAACCCAGAAGCTGTTGTAAAGAGAGTGGTCTCTTCTCTATGTGTTGTGCTTGTTTTCTCAGATTTGTGAGTGCTAATGGATGGTTCACCAGAACCAGGCCTTGTCTCGCTGTCAGTAGTATGAGAAGTGTGCGGTGAAGGAGTAGTATTTGATGATTCAGAGAGGGCTGTGGACCCTGTGGATTCCACAGCAAAAGACCCAGTTGATGTCTCACCACTACCAGAAGTGGTTAAGGATGCATCAGGACTCAATGAGGACAGAAAACTTCTACTGACAGTGGTGGAGGAGGTTATGACTGAATCAGTACGGTGAGATGAACCAGATATGGTTGTAGACAGCTGCCCAGGACTTGAAGGGAAAGTGACACTTCCACCATCCCCAGGAGACGAGGAGGTTTCAAAGGAAATGGTTGGTGTGAAAACACTAGAAGTCATTGAGATGATAGTTGTCTCTTCTGTTTGTGTTGCACTTGTATTCTGCGACATCTGAGTGATGGTAAATGGCTCATGAGAACCAACTGGGGATGAAAGATTCTCTCTGTCAGTAGTATGAGAAGTGTGAGGTGAAGGGGTAGAGTGTGATGATTCAGAAACATTGGTGAATATTGTGGATTTCACAGCAGAGGTCTCAGCTGATGTTCCATCCCTACCAGAAGTGGTTAGGCTTCCCTCAGGATTCAATGTGAACCAAGGACTTCCACTGACAGTGGTAGAGGAGGTGACATCTGAGCTTCTGGAGGGAGATGAGGCAGATACAGTTGTAGACAGGTAGTCAGAGCTTAAAGGGGAGGTTGTACTTCCCTCATTCCCAGAAGAGGAGGTTTCAGAGGAAATGCTTGGTGTGGAAAAAACAGAGGCTGTTGTAAAGAGAGCGGTCTCTTCTGTATGACTTGTGCTTGTGTTCTCAGGTGTCTGAGTGCTGGTGGATGGTTCACCAAAACCAGGTGATGATGGAAGATGCTTGCTCTCAGTAGTATGAGAAATTTGTGGTGAGGCTGTAGTATTTGATGATTCAGAGAGGGCTGTGTACACTGTGGATTTCTCAGTAAAAGTCTCAGCCGATGTTTCATTGCTACGAGAAGTAGCTAAAGATTCATCAGAACTCAATGTGGGTGGAGGACTTCCACTGATAGGGGTAGAGGAGGTGACATCTGACTTAGTTGGGTGAGATAAAACAGATATGGTTGTGGGCAGATGGCCAGGGCTTGAAGGAGAGGACATAGTTCCATCATCCCCAGAAGAAGATGAGATAACAGTAGAAGTGGCTGTTGTGAAAAAAACAGACGTTGTTCTGAAGACAGTAGTCTCCACTGCACTTGGTGTACTTATATCCTCTGGCATCTGGGTGTTGGTAGATGGTTCATCAGAAGCAGATGGGGATAAATGATTCTCACTGTCAGTAGTGAAAGAAGTGTCTTGTGAGAATGTAATGTTTGCTGATTCAGAGATGGTTGTGGACACTGTGGATTCCACAGTAAAGGACCCAGTTGATGGTCTATCACTACCAGAAGTGGTTAAGGATCCATCAGGACTCAATGTGGGTGGAGGACTTCCACTGACAGTGGTAGAGGAGGTGGCATCTGACTTAGTGTGGTGAGATGAAGCAGATATGGTTGTAGATAGATGGCCAGGGCTTGAAGGGGAGGCCATACTTCCCTCACTCCCAGAAGAGGAGGTTACAGAGGAAGTGGCTGGTGGGGAATAATTAGAAGCTGTTGTGAAGATAACTGTCTCTTCTCTATTACTTGTACTTGTGTTCTCAGGTACCCGAGTGTTGGTGAATTGTTCACCAGAACCAGGCAATGATGGAAGATTCTTGTTGTCAGTAGTATGAGAAGCATGCGGTGAAGGAGTAGTATTTGATGATTCAGAGAGAGCTGTGGACACTGTGGATTCCACAGTAAAGTGCTCAGTCCTTCCATCACTACCAGAAGTGGTTAAAGATCCTTTAGGATTCCACATGGGCAGGGGATTTCTAGCGACACCAATGGAGAGGAAAGCATTTGCACCTGTGGGGTGAGAACAAGCAGTTATGATTCTGGGACCTCTGGCTAGGACTTTGTGGGGAGTGGGGGAGGCATTCCCATCATTTCTAGTTAAGAAGATTGTAGAGTCAGCAGTTGGTGTGCATAAACAAGAAGTTTTAAAGGAGAGGTCTCTTGTAATGTCATGCCTCTGTCATGAACACAGAGATCCTGTAGATATTACAGATTTCCAATGGAGACGTGATACTTTGTCTCTTCTGCTGGATGCAACAGTTTGCCTAGTTAGGAAGGTACAGTAGGTAATTTCCTGTGATTTGACTGTGATTTAGGACTTCAATTGTCAGTAGTGTAACTAAGTTTTGACAAATCTTAATGGTGGTGTAGAATATTATTACACACCTGTGAGCAGTAAGGCCTGCATATTCTTCTCAAGGCTCACTTGGACATTATCATTTAGGCGAGGGTGCTCTGGCCTACATGTGGGCTGACAGTTGTACTCACACAAATGTCCCCATGTACACTCCTTTTGTCTTTGACGTTCTGGGCTATCAGACTCCACACTCACAGCATCTGGCTTATGCTTCATCTGACAATTCTCTCTTTCACGTTCTTTATACTGAGTCTCCTCCCCACCTCTAATCCGGCATCTGTCACCGACCCAGAGGACCAGGTGAGCTAACATGGTCACCCATGACCATGGATGATTCTCTCTCCTTTCTCTCCATGTGCATTTACATACAGAAGGGCTAGTCACCCTACTTGGAATACTGCCACCTCTTCCTGGTCCCCTGTGACCCTCACTTCCTGCCTAGGCACACGTTTTCTCCATGTGGGTCCCACAGGTCACTCGGTGGGTTACAGCTATATAGTGGTAACGGCTTTAGGCTTCAGCCTGGGACTGGGGCACTTACACCGTCTTCTCTGCACTTACACTAAGAATGTGTGACCATAAACGCAGCACTGTTTCTCTGTGCAAAGTGGAAATACAATGCCTGGCTCCTCTTTCTCCTGCCTGAGACCTTTTTTTCAAGTTCTTACCAGAAATAGAAAGAATCTTTGACAGTGGTGCCATCTGCCTAGGGGGTATTATAAATTCCATAGATAGTGTTTAGAGAACTTTGTCAAGAGGGTAAGGCAGGGTCGGCAGATGGCATGAAGGTTAAGGTGCCTCAATCCCACATGGCTAATCATGTAGTTCAAGTCCAGGACCCAGCACTTTGAAAAACATGCCAGGTGTGTGCATGCATGCCCCAAACCCCAAAAAGAGAACAGAGGAGAAGGAATTGAGACATGGCCATCCCCCTGCTGGTTGTTTTCTCTCTTCAGCAAGCACACACACCCTATGGCAAATGAATTAATTAAACAATTAATTAAAAGACTAAACTCCTGGGGAGGGCAGGGCATGTGGCCCTTTGTCTTTCATGTCAGACCCCCACCCCTTCCCAAAGATATCCTAAAGCTACATCTTTCTCACTTCTCAAGAGGTGACCTCAGCCCTTGGCAGAAATCTGGAGGTCACCAGGGCAGAGGCACCCTCCACCATCTCAGACAACCTCACTTTCCCAGGGTCCTGCAAGACACAGATGGTCATAGGAGAACAACTGGGGGTTGGGCCAGGATTAGAGGCTGGGTAGTGGGGGACAATGGTTTGTTCCAATCAACAATTCTGGATCTTTGGCTTTCCAAAACATTAGGAGAAAAACTTGATCAAATCATTGATTAATGCAGTCTTAGTCAAACATGCAATAATGTCTGAGATATTTGGGATTCTAAATTTATGAAAAAGATTGAAAAGATTGCTTTTTTAAAAAATAAAATTTGCTGTAAGACATGTGCACTCACCACAGGTGGTAGGGTGAGAAATCACCCCCAAGGGGGATGGTCACACCACAATCTCTTCTCCACTCTTCTCTCAGGATTTTGGACATACATACACACATACCTGGAGTGTTTTTCAAGCTGCTGGGTCTGGGACTCAAACTGTACAGTTGGCTGTGTGGAATTCAGTCACCCTGACCACCACGCTACCAGCTATCCCCAAATTGCTTGTTTTTAGGTCAGTAGATATATACACTCTTGCCCACTCCTCTTGCCCATGAGTTAAATTTTATCTAAATCAGTATGATGGGAGTGGGGGTGCTGAACTCAGGAGGCTGCCAAAGGTGGAGGTGAGGCACCCCTAAGACATGAGTATGAGGAGGGCAGAGGGAGAGAACCCGTCAGACTCTAGTCCACCTGAAGTTAGTGGTGGCAGGGCTCAGAGCAGCCCAGGCATCGTAGAGGGACCCAGAGCCATGCTTCTTCCCACAGGCTGCCTCCGCCTCCTGCTCCACCTTCCCTTAAACAATGGGGTCCCTCTGCCTTCCTGGTCCCTGGGAGCACCTCTCTCCCTCACCCTTTATAAGCACTTTCTGTATCATACCCAGCCAGAACCCCAGTCCTTAACCACCCTGTCTTTGAGCACCCACAGGGAAGCCACTTCTCAGCTCTATAGCCCACTTGTTCATGCAACAGTTCAATAGGCAATTAGGGCCAGCCTGTGGCAGCAGCAAAACCTGATACTCTGTAAGGCTGACCCGCATGGAAGGATTCCAGGTTTGCTTCCAGAGACCTCCCTGAGTGTACCAGACACAGTGTGCCTATGACCAGGCTAGCTGAGGCTGGGGCTGGACTGTGTCAATGCTCTATTGGGGGTGCTGTCTCTCTCTCCTCTCTCTCTCTCTCCCTCATGGAAGAAATAAAACTTTTTAAAAGGTTTTTGCTATAGGGCTCCTCAGTGAGAAACAGAGAGATCCAGTGAGAGAGAAAGTGAGAAATCACCCCCTGGGGGTGGGCCATGCCACAATCCCTTCTCCTCCATTCTCTTCCTAGGAATTTGGGCATGCACGCACAGACATTCAGCATGGTTTTCAAGTCACCAGATCTGAGACTCAAACCACGGCCAGTCATGTGGGCCCGCAGGTGGAGTAGTGGATAAAATGCCCAAAACCTGAGAGAATTGAGAAGTGATTGTGGCCATCCCCAAGAGACCCCCCTTCTCTTTCTCTCTCACTTCCTCTCTCTGTGTGTGTCTGTCTCTCTGACGAGTGCATGCACTCTATAGTAAAAATCTCTCTTAACTTGTTTTTAAGTTATTACTGTGACCACAAGAATCATGCTGCGCCCTAGGATCAAAGTCAAATGAACCCCACCCCTTCCCAGGACTCCTAGACCCCCAGCACAATGAGAACTGAAGGCCCACATGAGGAGATGAGCAAGAATTGGCGGTGGTAATAGGGGGACAGCCCCTCTCCCTCTTTTTGCAGAAGACTTCAGGAAGGAGGTAATACTAATACTTGAACTGTTGTTGTTTTCTTCTTTAAAAAAAAAATCTCTTGAGTTGGTTCATAAACTTTACTGGACTTTTTCAGTTGTAAAAGTAGAGTATGTTTCTTGTGACAAGTCAAACAATAAAAAGGCCTACAAAGGCAGTTTGTGATCACCTCCCTAACTGACACACACAGAATGAGCAGGGTGGGAGAGGTGGCCTTTATTGGTTGCTTATCAGCTTCTGGTGTTTACCCTGTCACAGGCCTTGCGGCAGCTGGAGCTCAGGGTGATGTAATTGCCTATGGAATGTCTTTGCCCTTCTGGGTGGTAAGGTCCAGGAGAGCAGGGAACATTCTGCCCTGTTCGGCTGTCCCAGCCCTGAGAACTTCTGAAGGAGTCCATGAATACTGGGGAGCCTACCAGACACTACTCTTAGTGACTGGAAGTGACCTTCACAACCACACTGCAAGGCAGGCCTCGCTATTTCTATTTTACACACAAATCGAGGTGCTGAGAGGTACTTTCCAAGGTCACCCAGCTTCTAAGGTACGACTCAGGCACTTCCTATAGCTGGCTTTTGCTTTCAGCCCAAGGAGAGTATTCCAGAGAGTAGAGAAGAGGAAGGGGAAGGTTCAAGCTGTGGGAAAGGCAGGCATGGAGGCCCAGAGGCTCACTGTATGTGTGGGGTGGGGCTGGACACTGAGACGTGAGTGGAGGCAGAGGGAAGCTGCTAAGGTAGACTTGAGCCCTCCTGGAAATGGAGTTTGGGCTTAACTGAGCAATGGTAGAGAATCTTCAGCCCAGGGCCACAGTCCTGGCCCAGTCAGTGGTATAGTTAAGGCGCCTGGATCGCAGACAGCTGCCTGCATGGTTCAAGTCCCTGACCTGGTGGCTTGAAAAACACACGGGGAAGGGCTGGCAGGTTGATGTGGTGATTGAAGCTCTGGCTGTGGTCTGAGTCCCAGACCTGGCAGCTTGCATTCTCACTTTCCCTCTCTCTCTCTGGTCAAATTAAAGCAAAATAATAATAATAAATAAAATTATTTTATTTAAAAAAAGAAAGACACTGGGACCAGCAGGTGGCATGGTGGTTAAGGCGCTGGACACTCCCACATGGCCGACCACGGTTCAAGTCCTAGACCTGGTGGCTTGCTTTCTCACTTTTCTCTCTCTCTCTCTGTGTCTCTCTCTGGTCAAATTAAAATAAATGAATGAATGAATAAATAAATAAATAAATAAATCTTTAAAAAAAAAAAGAGAGAGAGATGGAGGAGGAGTTGCATCGTGACCAGTCCCTATGAGGGGATGCTTTCTCACTTCCTTGCTCGCTCTCTCTCTCTCTCTCTCTCTCCAGTGAGTGCACATGCCCTCTGGCAATTAAAAAAATGTGTATTATGAAAAAACTATGCATGGATTTCTAAATATTTTCACACCAAAATAAACTTGTACTTTAATTACTTTTTATAATTTAAAAAAAAAATTAAGTTTTTGCCATAGGGTTTGTGTGCTCACTGGAGAAAGGGAGTGGGAAAGTAAAAAATCACCCCCCCCAAGGGGAGTAGCCATGCTGCAATCCCTTCTCCTCCATTCTCCTCTCTGGATGTTGGGCATACATGCACACAAGCCCAGTGTGATATTCAAACTGCCAGGTCTAGGGACTCAAACCATGGTCAGTCAGGTAGTAGTCCAGCCCCTTAACTACCACACCACCTGCTGCCCCATCCCTGACCTTCTAAAAGTCTTCTACTACTGTGTCATCACTGGGGAACCCAGGGGAATTATCTACTGCTAATAATTTCCAAGCTGGGATTCCTCAGGACATTGTGGTCAAAACATTTAACAAAAACCGTCTATTTGCCCTCATTGCAGCCAGCTCTCCCCCTAAACAAGTAAAGTTGGGGTTTTGTTGTTCTGTCTAAAATTGTGACACAGTATCTTATTAGACAAGTAAAGCTGAGTACTTCCTTGCCCTGGTTCATATTACCTGTGTTTGGACTTTTCTTTTTTTTTTTTTCTTTTTGGAGAGGCTTTTGCTATAGGGTGCATGCACTTACCAGAAAGACAGAGACAGAAAGCGAGAAATCACCCCCCAGGAAGATGGCCACGCCGCAATCCCTTCTCCTCTATTCTCCTCTCGGGATCTT